TTGAAAAGGGAGTGAAATGGTATAGAGGGCCATCTGGAAAATAAAGGCCACAATCAGATCAGCTGTGATGTCATCAAATGGCAGAACAGGCTCAAGGGGCCAAATGGACTAATTTGTATTATCATAACTCCCACTTGGAACAAAGAAGTTATTTGTAGCCTGTTTCCAATTGTTGACTCAAAACAATTTAGGGATTAATTTTAATTTTGTGCAAGTGGGTGATATTGAACGAGGTTAAACTCTCATCCTAATCTGTAACGATCACCCTACTTGGCACATTTATCCACCATCTTATCAGAAAACCTTTTGTTTTGTTGGCAATGCATTGTAAAGGTGAGGATAGACCGTGATGCAGAACTGTTCGTGGTAACAGCATGAAGTTACGACCCAAATGTGCATGAGTTGTGACAATCATTTGCTTCAGCAATAATTGTAGTGCAGTTCTGTCAAGGAAGACGTTACTGTAAAACACTTACTGTGAACTTTGCAGAATGTGCAAGCTCATTGATGACACTTTCATAGGGTAGTAATAATATGTGATAAACAAAATACAATGCAATCAAAACATACATATTTACAATGGAGATTAGCTCAAATATAGGTCAGTTATGCAGTTTGGAGATAGTTGACTGGTTTAGACCCCACTGAATGGCATGTTCACTGGTGATGATAGGTTGTCAAGGAAACGCTCTTTGAACAGATGGGTGCCGTATAAGCAGCTGTTTTCTATTAAATTCCTTATCTTCAATAATTTTGGTGATGAATGAAATTAAAATATTATACGCCATCACTTGGAAAGAGCAGGCCCAGGGTTTTTATTGTTTTCACTCATGGTACACTACCTCCTGAACCCTGGAAGATATGCAACAGTGTCCAAAGATGCCACAGAACAATATTCAAGAAATTCAAACTGCTATGCTAGAGAGGACAAAATGCATTTAGACTGAGCCACATTACATTTGTGCCTCACTGATTGGGAATGCATTTGTCCACTGGTTTGAATTTGGCTCCCTCTTGTCACTGACCCTTTCCTAGTTGAGGAAATGAAAATACCAGGAATTTCTTTGGGCTATTCTCCTGATCAATGGAAGATCAACGATGCAAAAACAATTTTGTTTTATTTTTGTGTTTTTAAAAGTTATGGGCTGAAATGGGAAAGAAATTTTTCATAACCAGTATATCAAAAGATTGCTGGATGTTTTGAAAAGGTGGTCAGCCGAACTCATGGCAAACATTGTGTAAGTCGCTGAACAAGCAGGAATTGAAGTGGTTGCCAACAAACTAGAGCTAGGTGCATGCTGGGTGATACTAAGGCATTGATTGGTCTATAGACCCATGACCAATTATTGATGCCAAAATTCTTTTACCTGCCACCAACCATGTGATTGGTTCTCAGGTAACTGAACCTAAGCTTGGGGATGGGTACAGGATGGAGAAAGGTATTTTGATCTCTACCAGCACTGAAGCTGTCACTCTGTTCTCTGCAGTAAAACCCTGTTTAAACCTGAAGAAAACCAGTTCATGTTTCCTTCAGCAGCTGTTGTGAGTAGTGATTTAACTGATAAGTCAGACACCTTATATATGACAACCAGCCACATTATGTGGAGGTGCCGATGTTGGACTGGAGTGGACAGAGTCAGAAGACACACGACACCAGGTTGTAGTCCAACAGGTTTATTTGAAATCACAAGCTTTTGCAGTTGGTGCTTCTTCGTCACTTCGCCTGGTGTCATGTGACTTCTGACTTTAGCCTCTTTATGTCTTTTGCACAGCAGGTGAAGCATTTAAAGAAAGATGATTGAAAAGCAACATTCTGTCTAGCTTGAGAATCAAAAGGATTCTGTGAATAAGATCTGCTGAACTGCCTCCCAATTTTTCCTCTACTGTAGGATTCTCTCCCTAAAGGCATAGTGGGTCTACTTACAGCACATGGGCTGCAGCAGGTCAAAAAGGCAGTTCACCAGCAACTTCTCAAGTGCAACTAGGGATGGGCAATTAGTACAAGCCCAGCCAGTGACACCCATGTCCCACGAGTGAATAAAGAAACCTATTTTTCCATGTGTGTGTGCGTGCGTGTGCGTGTGCGTGTGTGTGTGCGCGCGCGTGCGTGCATGTGCGTGTGTTTATACAAGGGAATTTATAAGGCAGTTAGAATTTTTAGTGTTGTATGCCGCTATTACTTGTAATAAATAATAATTCTTCTTAAGTCAGAAAATTGCTACATGTTTTCTATCAACCTGGGTCTGAAAATCAGGTAAATTGGGGAACTTTTGTGTACTTAGGTTACATTCTTTAATTTTTGTATGACTCTGGGAATAGCAGGGCTTGAATTCCAATGCACTACCCAGTGAGCTGTGACTTTAAGGATTGTACGCCCATCCATTTTTCAACGATCCTCTGCTGGAGTTAAGCTGGTTGATTGGAAACAATTCCTTCACTCCCTGAGGAAATCCTGGGGAGACAGTTTGAAATGAGGTTAAGAGCTTGCACCTGAATAGCAGAGATAATTCAGCTATTAGCTGTGCATGCATGTCCCTCCTCTCTCCCTTGTCTTCAAACCAACCTCTAAAATTGGCAAAGGCTCCTGAAAAGACAGCTCCTGTATTGCCTAAACTTATACTATCAACAGAGCATTCAGAGAAAAAAGGAAGATCTTAAATCTCACCACTTCAAGGCATCCCAAAGGGCTTTGAATTCAGCAAAGTAGTTTTGAAGTGTTGCCAATGTTGAAATGTAAGGAAACATAGAAATAGGAGCAGAAGTAAGCCATTCAGCTTATTAATTCTGCTCCACTATTCAATATGATCATGGCTGATCTCCAACAATACTGATACTTTGCGTAAAGCTAGCCTCCATATATAGCATTGTGATAATGACCACCTTATCAGTTTTAGTTAGGATGGTTGAGCCATAAATATTGACACTAGAGTGAAATTCTCTGGTTGCAATCTTACCAAACTCTGAGCACCATGGGTTATGGTGGGTTGTGTGGTAGAATCAGGCTGTCATTGACTTGATTGCTGACAGCATCCCAGCCTTGCATTGCCTTGCCTTTAGGCAAATTGTCTCCTCAGCTAGAGGTACCTGGCTCATTTGCATCATTCTGCAGCGAGTTTAATGTGGAAATGAAGACATAATCATCTTATATTCATGGACATTGGCAGCCAATGCAGAAGAGCCTCTAAGAACGCCAGTGGCACTTCTCTGATCCCCTTATGGGATACCTCTGCTTGGGGCAGTCTGTCATGATCCTCTCCTCATTAGGAATGATGATCAGAATGACAGGCAGTTCACCAACTGTCTTGACTCTCTGCATAATTGTGGTGTATTTTGCTACAAAATGAGAGAGAAGCAGGTACTGTGGGAAATGAAAGTGAGTGGCACAGCTCCTACTGCTGGTGCAACTGGAAGGTGTTTCCACATGAATGAGTAGGCAGTGCAGAGGGCATTCAGGCTTAGTGGTTTCACAGAATGCGGTGGGTTAGGGCAAATGATGAAGACAATAATGAACTAGTAATCGAGTATAAACATTGGTGAGAGCTTGGTGCAATAGCAGAATCAGTGTGAGTGTAAGGTAGCAGAGAGAAGATGGCAGAACTTATGCTGGTCAGTAGAGATGGGCATTGACCTTCCCCACATTGATGGGCATTCCTTCAGATGGCTAAGAGCACTTTAACCCAGGTGGCAACCTTAGATCAAGTTGGCATGATCCAATACCATGCCTCCATTGCTGATCCTGGGTTAACAGGACATCCCACCTCTGCACCACCCTGTCCAGCAGGGCCCCTAGATCCCTGCAAAGCATGGTACTGATCTCCTACCGTCTGTGATGTACAGGGCAGATTTCAGAAGTTATGCAGCTGCAGACTGATAATGCTTGGGGAGATGCACAATGGGTTTTTAAAGATGGTACAGGGACAAGGTGGTGAATTCTGGGATAGCCATTGAGTAGTGGAACAACACGTGGGTAAGATGGGATGGAAACTGAATGCGAAAGACACAATATGTGTATGCTAACTAATTAAGCAAGTTTGGTAACATATGGCAAGAGAATGTACTAGGCCTCGTGGTGACAAACTATACAAAAAACTCAATGTAGCTTGGATTTAGCCAATAAAATGGAAGATTCAGCCCAACAGTAATACAAGTCTTGCTTTTAAAATTGCACTTTTGCTTGGTATGCTTATGAGGACTCAATGCTTTTAGGAGTCAGTTTGATTTTATCATTTCACGTGAGTGATGGGGCTGAGGGTTCTTGTATGTTCTTCCAACTGGTCTTGACTGTGAAGTTGGCATCAATGACTTGCATTTTAGACTAGGCCATAGACCACTTTGAGGACCTTCTGACTGCATTTTGAGAACCAATGTTTCAATTGTTCTCAGCCTTTGATGGGGCCAAGGCCTAAATCCAGGTTCACTTTTGAGGCCTGAGAATGGGTAGATATCCATTGCAGGGCTGGTTCTTCTCTGTCCTGCCTGATTTGCCCCATAGACTATTGTCTGTCCTTGCGAAGAGATCTCAAGGACTATTAATAGTAGTGATGGAGGGCAGGGGAAATAAGACAATTTGTCAAGTTCTCCTTCTTCACAATCATTTACAAGTTATAATAAATCTTTAGGGCAGGCAGGAACTTTTCCTGTTAGGGTAGGCCAATGCATCTTGCTCACGACCCCCAGATCTGCCAATCCTCCTTCCATTTTCCACCGTTACAATGCTACAGTGGAGGATCTATCCAAGAGGTGCTAATGCAATGGCTGTTCAATGTTGGTCCCTATTCATGAATTAGTAATTACATTTCTGCTTTGATGTACAACATTCATAGAATAGCCAAATTCTGAAAACAGATGAATCATCAGCTTAGATTTATGCCTCATAAAGTTAAATTATTTCTGGGATTAAGTTATGCCAAGTTTCATATTTTCCAGAATACTAATTCTCAACAGCTTCCATTTACCAAGGAACACAGTATAATTGTGTGAAGAGTATTAGTCCCATCCTACCTGATGATGTCACACAGTCACATGGAAAAACAATTTGTCTCACATGGGGTCCTGATGGAAACAGAGATGACATTCCTCGTAGCTGTAGTTATAACTATATAATGTTAACTATATCTATTGCTATCATGGAATAAACTATACCTTGTTATGTAAGACAAGTGCCTCTTCTTGTTAACATTCTGTAGTGGCCCATCCTGTCCCACTGATAATCAGAGGTCCTTGACATCAATATAGAAAGAAGAATTAGTGACAGCAAATTACTCCAACTACGAGCTGCCAGTAGTTGGCACCCAGAGTCCGGTATTGAATATGTTCACAGCAGGGGTAGAGATCTTTGTTAGGGAAGGGAATCAAATGTTATTGGGGATAGATGGAAAAGTAGAATTCAAAACACTGATGGATCAGCCATGATCTTATAGAATGGTAGAGCGCTGAATGGCCTAAATTTGCTTCTAGTTCATGTGTCCTTATGACAGAAAACAGCACCGAGCAGTCACAATTATTTTAAGCCAATGATTATTTTGAAGTTGAAGTCAATGCTCCTTTTTGAACAGAAAATCTTTCATGTGAAAAGCTGCTCTCAAAAATACGTGAAGGTGTGATTGGAACGGTTTGAAGAGGGATATTTCATTTAGAGCTCTCTTTCAGACTTCATGTCAACTGGACAGAATCAGAACAGGACTCCATCAAATAAACACACTGCTTGTGAAATTTATAAACCCAACCAAGGCACCCTAACTCCATCAGTATAGCAGTTTTAGCAAAGCCTGAATCACTGCAGGCCTCATTCTGTCAATCAGAAAGGCCAGTGTAGTTAAAACATGTGAATGTGCGTTTTTGATGTGGCAATACAGATGTATCAAGCTGCTGTGAGTGCTTCAGAGATAAGGTCCCACTGCTGCTTGGTTGGATAGGAAATCTAAGACAGGTGTTAGAAAGTTCTTTAAACCAAGAGAGATCAACCTGTGCAGTACACAATGATCAAATAAACTAATTTTCTCCATGATGCAGCATGAAACTCACTGGATGAAAATAAACAATTTCACAAGTAAAATGGTTTTGGTTTGCAATTGTCCCAGAACAAACCTTAGCCAGGAATTTGAGATAACAAGGCGTAGAGCTGGATGAACACAGCAGGCCAGGCAGCATCAGAGGAGCAGGAAAGCTGACGTTTCGGGTCTGGACCCTTCTTCTGAATTCTGAGACTCAGATTCCAGCATCAGCAGTTCCTACTATCTCTTAGCCAGGAATTTCCCCGGTTCATCCTGTATTCATGTGGTCTGATTTGCCAAATGTCACCAGTGGAAGTATGAAATATATTTGTGGAATCAAAAATTCCAGGAGCTGTTGCCTTTAACCACTATGGCCAGATCTTGTCTATGTCCTGGGTGTGCTCTACCAGCTGGGCATAATTTCACAATTTCCTTTCTGCTGTGTAGACCTGAAAGACATGCTTCTACTGATGCAGTTAACCAAGAGGTGAGGTAGCTATTTTGAAGTAAGCAGTAAGTCTAGGAATATTTGTTGGGAAGTGACAAGGTAGCTATAATACAAACACAGCCGCACCAATGCCTCACTCCTTCCTTCAAGATCAGTACAATCATTGATAAACCCTCCAGAAAGCATGTGAGGAAATTTACTGACAGCTGATGGTGGCCACAGGAATGCTATTGTGAAAGAAGTGTTTTAAAAAAGAGTGAAAATGCAGGAAATCAGCAGCTGGTGAGCTGGGTTACCCAATGCTCTACTTATTATGTCATTAAATCTACTTATTAAAAGCATTAGAACTTCATCACTTTTGCTATGAGAACGACACTATATCAAATCTTGCTGAAAAACTAAACCAAGTTAACAAAAAGAGATAACAAGGTGTGGAGCTGGATGAACGCAGCAGGCCAAGCAGCATCAGAGGAGCAGGAAAGCTGACGTTTCGGGCCTAGACCCTT